TGCCACTGCAGATGAGACACAGGCTTTATTGCACAAAAGCTGACACTCAGACTACCAAGTCACTGAATTGAGGTAAAACTGTAGATGTGCTTTTAGTAAGAAGTGCATGATACATTACCTATGCATGTTTAATTATGCATTTGCTTACACTAAAAATAAATTTCATCCGGCACAGCCCCATTGTATTTTGATACCACACCAAAGTAAATGATTCACTTCATTAGCAGTCTGGCAGTGCTAGCAAAAAGTACCTAACCTTAGGTGTATGAATGAGTTGGAGCCATTTCCAAGAAGAGATTTCATTGTTGAAGAAAGACTACAGATCATGAAGTAAATGGTAGACTAAGTTCCCCAAAGCTTCCACAATGCAAGTCGGTTAGCCAGTGGCACACACAATGGAGGTACATGTATCAAAGCCTTGTTCATGTCATAAGCAGCTGTACCAATTCTGTCAATATTTCTGTCAATTCTGTCAATGTATATAATTCTGTCAACATTGGAGAGGATTCCTTTCCTACATTTTACGTTGGAATCAGTCCAAAAGGACAGGGAGTTGCTAATGTGACTTCCCCACTCTGCCCAGTGCCAGGGACACTGCCATCATTTACTTATTGAAAACACTTAAAAACATGGTCATGCACCAGTACTTTCATGTCACTCAATAATGTATTGCTTTGTACTTTACTTGCACAGATCACAGACTCTTTGTTATGTACTGGTACTGTTGCCAGCGGCTGCACTAGAAGTAAGAAAAACTTTGTTTGACCTGGCTTTGATGGAGGCAAGCAAATGACTGGTCTTTTCTTGTCTATTCCAGAATTTTCTGGTGCTCTGTTGATTGATTTACATTTGGAAACTTGCATAATTATAAGAAGTTTCTAGAAAGGTAGAGTTACCGTTTTTTTTGTGTAAAAGTAAGAAAACCTGTAGAAAGGAAGGACCAGGAGACTACTGCAAGATTGGATTAGTACGGGACTTTCATTGAAACTTCTGCTGCCGGCTGGTCTGTGGAATGGTTAGAGAAAGTTCATCTTGACTGAAGAAGTGCTTGAGAACTGAATCCCGTACAAGGAGAGACGTTTGGTTAGCTATGTACTGCAGTTCAGTAGTTTGGGGTTACTTAGTCCCCATAGTTTGGCAACAGGAGTCCGCTTGCAGCCCTCACTGTTTCGTCTGTTCTCTGGATGTTCATTGGAGGTGAATTCACCCCCCCTTCTCAGTGTATTTACTTCGTTAAGGAACAGCAGTCCCCGCAGTCATCCATTGTAGAGCCTGTTCAAGTCCTCGCCTGTTTCACCTGTTCAATCACTTTACCCCACCCCCACCCCGCATTGTGATTTTACCCCACCCCGCATTGTGATTTTCATGGCTGGGCAAGTGATTTCCCCCCCCCTACGTACACACACCTTTCCTCATCCTCCTCCAGTAACACTGGACGTATTCTCATTAATAAATCACCGGCATTTCTTTCCTTTTTATATCAGTTTGATCTTGTTTGATTTCTTTGTTGCATCACCAAAGCTTTAGGGTTTTTTAAATCATTTACAATCACCAATAGTTTGGAGTTGTTTGGATGGTAATGTGAAATTTGGAAAATGCATTTTTTTTTTCTGCATAGCTCCGGCAAATGTCTGCGTGCATTTATGGCCAATTTGCACTGTGAACAATTTTGCGTGCTATACAGTCTAAGATTGGTTTGTTACCATTTCCAATAAGGTAGTTTATTGAAACTTGAGGAGACACGAAAGATCAGAAACAAATTAAAGACCAAGCTCCCGAAGTTGTCCACAGTACAGCATGGCAGTTAGCCATTTGCGCACAATGAAACATCATACTCTCGTTCAAATACCATATCACTGTATGTGGCTCAGGCCAATCTGTCAAAAGACACTTTTGCCGAAACATGTTGGACTCTATAAACAGAAAAGAAGGGTTGGACCATGCAAGAACCTTTCCCTCTTCTGCTGCTTCTGCATAATTGAAGTGAAAGGTTCACCTTCCCCTTGTCCTGCACTCAACTAGGTTCCTTCTCTTTCCTGATCATTTGCATCCAATCCAGAAATGGCCAATAGTCTGCCTTTGGGTCAGGTGGATCTTGAACTCGTTCTTCTTCTGTGAATATGGAAACAGGCATTCTGGCTCCCATAGCTCGTGGTCTGACAAGCCAACTTGGACTGATCCCAGGTAGCCTTCTTGTTTGTGGAACGACAAACAAAAGTGTCCCAGTGACTGCCATGACTATATACAACACTTGGCTCGTGAGGGACAGGTGTCTGTGCCCAGTACTGCAGTCAGTGCAGAACTCAGAAGAAAAGCATTGAACGAGCACATCTTGTATCAGAGACTCACAGTTTGGGAGTGGGAAAAGTAGTTATCTGATTGGCACCGAGTGTGGACAATTAAACTGCATGTATCTTGAGTTTTGTCTGGACCAGAGACATTTACAACAGAAATGCCAAGCCTGTAATAGACTCTCGATTGTTGATAAGCCAAAGGCTCCGTTCAGGCAAGACTGCCAAGCCCGCTAACAAAATATAAAACTGTCCCAGGTGCACCATGCAGCTCCATTGCAGAAGTACAAGGAGTATTGTAGAGAGACTTTAAACCTGCAGCAGTCACTCAGTATAAATACCAGACACTGATAAATCGAATCAAGCAAGAGACAGGTTCTTTATCAGGCTGTCGTACATGGGTAATTCCAGAATTAGGGGTCCAAAAGTGTGACATCTTTGTGTCCCTGTCACATCCGACCTTTGTTATTTGACATGGAAATATCACCGGAATTGATTTCAAACTATTACTTATTTGCATGAATTCATCACCCTTGGAAATTAGAAAATGTGTCCTGAACTTAGAAAATCATATGTCAGATGTGACAGGGACACGAAAAAAAATGGACCCCTCATTTCTGGAATTACCCACATACACGGTGTCTAGTATTGGAACTTGCAGCAGAAATGTGCCTTGCACCTGCGGTGTAGGGAGTGGGTGAAGCAATTTTTTTACTACCCGAATTCTTCTGCTGAAAAGCACACAATGCATACTTATTTATGTATGGTTTTAAGCATAAAACAGACTTTGTCCAGCACATGTTCAAGTACATTTAAAGTGCATTCTGTAGTAAATACCAATTATAAACATGTATTCATTCCATCAGCAGTCTGTCATTACCAAGAAGTAAATTTTCTTGTGCATGTTGTAAGGTCTATGACAAGAAGGCAGACAGAATGGAAAGATTAACGTTATTGTGGCTTGGGCAAATCTGTCAGCATGTTAGACTCGGACACATGTTTGACTCGGACAGATTAGGAAGGAAAAGGAGAGTTTTAGTGAGTGAAAAATTGACCTTCTTTCACAACACAGCCGTGTGTTAGTCGGGTAGAAACTTCATTATACCGAAGGGATGGAACAGAAAAGATGACGGGGGTAATTAGAGGGACATCGGTTTCCAAAGTTTCAGGTACGGGTACTTTCAATGCACCTGAACAAGTCGCTGTACAGTTTTGCTATGGATGAAAATTGACTCCTCTCTTTCTGGTGCTTTTCCTTGAGTACGCACATGTATGCATTCATGTAAAGGCCTGTATACAGAAAAGGAGCTGATCGCTCCTCGTGTACGTGTAGCTTACGTATGGAAATCAGTAAATATCATAATATCAGAAGTGATTTTGGCCTTTTTAAGGCTTGAATATTACTGCCCCTCTGTGTACCTGGGCATGTTTGCATTGGTGGAAAATACCATGTTCATGTAAATCAGTTTATGAATACGTTGTATTCATTGGTTGTTCCCCCATCAGGTAACATGGCTTGCCTCGGTGCTTTTGCACGAAACCTGTCTGTGGTGATATGGTGAAACTTCGGACCTCTTCAAGTGATCTTTTTATGTAATTAGTGGTGTTTTGCTTCTTGCAAAGTATGCATGTACAGTATACGTGCACTTCTTACATTTACATGTATGAGGTAATTTTTTCTACTTGAAATAAATTACCCCAGTCATTTTGCTTTGAATCAGGTGGAATCAGTGATTCAGAGTTTAAGTCTTGTTTCCTAGGAAATCAATCACATGGCTTTTATGGGAAAAGGTTTTTGAACAAAAAGGAATTGGACGTGATTACGCATATAATGCCTAACGTGGCAGCTTCTCTAAGCATTTATACAAAATTCAGTTCAGTTCCACTGTGAGAATGCTCAGACTAAAAAAAAAAGTGTCAATGGGGACGGCAAAAATATCTTATCATTTGATGGTTGAATAATACGGCTCTCATACGTTCCTCCAGAGTTTCTTGACCTTGCGGCCGTAGTAAGGGACACAAGAGCAGATGATAAAAGGGGTAAAGTACATGTAAGTTAGATGTCATTCTCGGCGAATGACCATGACTATCTGTCTGAAATTACTCCAGTTCAAATTGGGACAGTTCAACTTCATCAAAGGGTCCAGCGTTGATCAATGCTGTTGATGGAAAGGTTTTTAATTTATATTGTTAACTTGTATTATTAATTAAAATGGTTAAATTGAGATTTGATTTTTTATTGAGGCTGGTTTAACTTGTGTGTCTAAGGTTCTTAAAGTTTCTTATTGGTTTAGGTCATTTTTAAATTGTTGATTCTTAATTTAAATTTCACTTTGTTATCGTTTTAATGATATCATTGTCTGTAAATTGCCTCAAGCGTCAATTAGGTGGATTTGGCGCTATACAAAAATGTTTTGTCCAATTATGTATTTATCATTCCAAGTTGCTCTCACTGTCCGACCTCTTTCAATTTACAGTTAAGTGCGAGCAAGCACAGGGCAAGTAGGAGTGTTCCCCCAAAATAATGGAACAGTCATTTAATTGCAGAGCGGGAGCATGGTCGTCATCAAAAGAGGCTTCTATTGGATGCTCCCGACGACTTTTGTTTTCAGTTGCCTGATATGAAGGAGGACTTCAACTTGCGCTTTTGACGTCAGTTGCAATCTGTATTCTGTTTTTACAAAATATATTGTTAAATATAACTAAATTTCTTAAAAAGTGAAATTACATGTATGTATTACCAATTGCTTTCTTGGGCGTAGATGCAGAAAGAATTATTGTCTTGAAACTTTTCTGGATCATTATACATGGGTCACATTATTGAGGTGACAGATTTTTCTGTCTTTGGTATGTAAGTACTGCTTCTCAAAACAGAAAGACATTGAAGGGAATCTTGCCTGATTTAGTTGTCGCATTCTTGTGCATAGATGCAGAGAGAGCCAGTAACTTGAAGGGTACCCGGGTCGTTGTACCGAGTGATATCATTGAGTTGACAGATTCTTTGTCCTTGGTCAGTGCGCTTGATGTTGAAGGAGCGACATGCAGGCTCCTTCATGCAGGCTACTGCACACCTTGGGTTGCTCTTGGTAACAAACTCTCTGATGACGTGATTGAGAAGGCAGGAGTTGAGAAGCTGTCCGTTGGTGTCTCGGGCAAAGCAGTAGTGAAGGGATTGTGTGTAAGGAGAACCACCACTAGGGTGACGGATACACAGAGCCCGATATCTGTTGCCACATACAGCGTCGCCCAAATATCCAGTGGAGTGTGAGGTTTGCATTACCACACAGTGTTGGTTGCCTTCCAAGTTGTTTGGTTGACCAGGCCCCCAGTGTAAGGATGGCTCACCCACCTCTCCACAATCCCACGTTCCTGTTTCACGGTCATCACACCCAATCCAGAAAACCTCAATATTCTCCCTTTGGGCCATCTGCTTCATGAACTCACTTTCATCAAGTGAGCGTGGAACAGCCATCCTTCCTCCCATGGCCTGACAAGCTGACACGCCATCATCCCAGTTCACTGTATCATTTTGTACATTGAAACGATAACAAGAATGCTCCCATGACTGCCATGACGGTGAGCAAGATAGAATGGCTAATGAGAGGCAGGTGCCTAGTAGTGCAGTCACCACAGAGGTTAGCATCACCGTGATCATTTTGTAGAGTCTCACATAGTGCTTTTGAAGCCACAGGTTCATTTAAGACGACAAAATCTCAAGACACCATGAGATTGTTGCTTTGGGGTGTGATCTCATTTATAGCTACTGTGCAGTGGCACAGACATTGTACATGGAAATTGAAAGTTGTTCATTTTTGTCGTTGCTAAGCCATATAATTTAATAACCATGCCATCCATAATCCCCCTTCCCCATTAGGATGAACTTTATAGAAACTGAGATTGGTTGAAGTGGGCATATTGATGAACAAAGGGAGTTACAGCAAATTGACTTCATCACATCCGATCATCCTCATCCTAGGAATACCAGTAAATTACTCAAGTGACCAAGACATTCGGGCTTATTGATTCTAATTTCCATGGTTATGGACCCTACCAGTATCATTAGCTGTGCTGTGGGAACCATCCAATTAATTTTTATGATGACATACCACTGTTCAATTCTGAAACCCATCAAAGCATCCATGGAATTGAAAAGAATGGGCCTTCTCTTGGGATGGGCCTGACTGAAATTCTGAAACCTGCTGGGCATCATAATTACAGCAACAGCAAAGAACTAATGATGACGAGCAACAGCTCAGCCATTCCTATTGGCTAGCAGCCTGTCACATAGGATGCCTATAGACCAATCCAATCACCAGAATTGGTGGAAGCCTTTATGGAAATTGTATTGTGCTGAACAAACCTGCGACTTGCCAAGCAGCACACGTGGCTCAAGTTAGAGAGTGAATATAAGACATACATGTAATTATGTGAGGCTTCGTCTGCAGTAGCTATACACACATTGGTATATGTTGGGAGTGATCTTTGTGCATACTCGGATTGTACATGTATGCAGTAGAAATGGGGGCAATGATGATATTGAATGGGTGATGTGGTCAGTATTTTCTTCTGAAGTTGTGACTTGATGTTAAGCCTATGTCAGAATCCAATTGCAAGGCTTGATCTGCTACATAATATGTGAGATGTAGTGCTTAGCAGATATTGATCTGCTAAATGAAAAACTTGTGACTCACAATATACTGGTACTTTGCACGATACATGCATTCTGCACGGGAATCATTTTTGGTGGGTGACAATTTGTCCATACTTAGCAGTTGACAATTTTAGTAAGTCCGTGAATTGGGCCCGTAGGAATTTGTAGAACATTGACTGGACGCTTGTAGAGCTTTTGCCAACAGTGCTTTACATAAAGTGTGAGGATGATGATAATGGTTCACAGCTCCATACAACACTTACTTATTTAGTGCTTCGAGCAAGATATCAAGCACTTTACAAAGAAATGCTAAAGGAACAAACAATAATGGTTAATTGTCTAAATATTGCAGCCTGTTTAACCCTAACAGTCCCAAATCCTCCAATTTCCATACGATTTTACACACACCCTTAGGGGTTAGGGTTAATAGGCACACACATCACAATTCCTGCATTTTTTTGACGTTGAGAATACTAGCTGCCCTCTTTTGGTGCAGTGGTCAGAAGTTATGAAAGATGTTTTTGGGCAGGAAGTCGCCCTGTGTAGGCGGTACAGTGTGGATAGTGATTCTTTTCTTGCTCATACTTTTGGTTGCTTCTGTAATTTAGACTTGCCAAGTTTATTGTAAACTTGTGCACCTTTAAGGAATGCTTGAGATGTGCATTCCATAGTATGGCGATCAATCAAACTCCTTCCCTTTTTAAGTGATAGGTTTTATTTCCATTTCTTTACTTTTAAATGATACAGATAATGTGAATCATGCTAAGAGAGGGTGGCATCCTATCCGTGCATATTCTGCAAGATTGTGTTTATCTTTAAAAGAAATTCCCCCTCCCAATTTACTTTGCATTTGATAGAATTGGAGATTTCAAGATTAACTCTGGCCTTTCAGAAAAGAAAACAATGAAGGAAATCTTGCCTACTTTAGTTGGCACAATCTTGGCCATAGATGCAGGAAGAATGGATGTCTTGAAACTCAGCTGGGTCATCACAGCGAGTTGCATTGTTGAGTTGACAGATTTGCTGTCCTTGGTTGTTGTGCTTGATGTTGAAGGAGCAACATGCAGGCTCCTTCATGCAGGCTAAGGCACACTGTGGTTCCTTCCTGGTGACAAACTCTCTGATGACGTGGCCAAGAAGGCAGGAGTTGAGAAGCTTTCCCTTGGTGTCTGCAGCAAAGCAGTAGTGACGGGCTGGGTGTGGATGAGAACTGCATGCAGGTTCAGTTGAACAAGAGAGGCAACTGGCTTGTCTTTGCGCACAGACACTGGTAGCGCTGAATGACGTGTTGCATGGTCGGTCATTCATACTGCCTATCCTATCGAGCCTGATTTCAACACAATCTTCATTACCACCTGCATTGTTGGGCTCTCCAGGCTTCCAGTTGAAGAATGGCTCACCTTTTCCTTGTCCTTCACACACCCATGTTCCTTCTTTCTCTGTATCACTGCATCCAATCCAGAAATGTGTGATACTCTCCCTTCTGGCCATCTGCATCATGAATTCAATTTCCTCCTGTGAATGTGGCACACCCATCATTCCCCCAATGGCCTGACAAGCCAACTTGGACTGATCCCAGTCAGCCCTCTCATCAGTGAATCGATAGCAAGAATCCCCCCATGGCTGCCATGACGGTGGGCAAGATGCAATGACTGGTGAGGAGCAGGTGTCTGTGCTCACCACTGCAGTCAGCTTAGAAATCGTCACCACGGTGGTGATTACGCTGTAGAATTTCATGTTGCGGAGTTGAAGCCACAGGTTTGTTGACTTACGTATCTTATACTGGTGTAGTCGCGTACATTGCAGGACCATGGTAGCGTACTTGCACCGTATGTGAAAACACAGAGGTATTTTATTTGTGTAGTAATGCATACAGATAAGCCACGAGCCCCTCCTCCGTAATTACTCCACCTATAGTAATGACGAACTGCATTGACATTGGAAAAGATGAAAATCAATATATATGGTGCTGTAAGCAAAAGCCAATTGGAGATGACAGACAAAAGGGGCATAATGGTTGAGGTAGAGGTGTTGAAAAACTAAGCCTTTTGATTCTGGAGCAGTGGCGTGGATTGTACTTAAGTAAGTTGCCACTGGGAGATGTGGCTTTGATAGAGATAAACAAGTTGTCAGGGGAATCCCTGTAGAAGGTCAGGAACATTGAAAATTTTATTGCATTGGACATTAATTCCTGCATATTTCAGCCAAATTGTATGGGTGGACATTACCAAGTAAAAGTTGTGTTGATGGCAAATACTAGAGCACTAGTTATAGTCACATTACAGCTTCTCAATTCCAGGGTCTATTCAACTACTCACACAGCTGAATAGGCTCATTAATGGAATGGGCCATTTCAGGAAAAAGGTATGACTGAAATTCCAATTCTATTCTTTAAGCCTATCTGTGAAATAGTACATCGTGATAATTGGGGAATGTTAATAAAGATTTCATATTTCCTACTGGCCATGTAAGACTCAACCATTCTTATTCATTGGCTTTCAGACACAACGACATTTGCTGTAATTGGTTATCAGACTTGGACGCCATAACTGCTGCAGTATCGTGCTTGTCTGAAGGCTGTAGACAAGCATAAACTGAAGCGGTGGCTCTTCCATCAAAAAACGGGGAGGGAGGAGGGCTAACTTGCCGAGTTGGACGTGCACCTCCAGTTTGAGAATGCATGCATGAGAAGAGCCTATGAGAGTGGTGCCAGGGCTGTGCCGAACACTTGGACATGGAAATCAGTGAAATAAATCAGGGCGAAATTTACTGATATGGTTACAAATTACACTCTTAAGTGATAAACATTTAATAGGATTCAACTGTAGAAAGTGTGGCTTCCAGCTTGTATACTTTTTCCATGCACATGTACATGTATCTACATGTATATGTATCTACATGTACATGTATGTACATTTGTTTTCGAAGTAGAAATGAAGTTAGCTCACTAATTTGCTTTGAATATGATAGGATATGATAGATCTGGCTTCCCAGGACAGAAAAGCAGGAAAGAAAATCTTGCCTGTGTTAGATGACACATTCTTCAGCATAAATGCAGAGAGTGCCAACATCTTGAAACTTTGGCTGGTCATCGCTGTGAGTTGCATTGTTGAGTTGACAAATTTTCTGTCCGTGATCGTTGTGCTTGATGTTGAAGGAGCGACAGGCGGGCTCCTTCATGCAGGCTAAGGCACACCAGGGGTCGCTCTTGCTAACAAGCTCCTTGATGACATGATCAAGAAGGCAGGAGTTGAGAGGTTGTTCATGGATGTCTGATGTCAAGCAGTAGTGATGGGATTGAGTGTAGTAAGAACAATTCGTACTTGTACCAGTATAATGACTGGTACAGAGAGCTGCTGCTCTGCTGTTACACGTTACATCATGCAAACTGCCATTCTCTGCCAGTGAGGACTTTAATCCAAGACAGAGTTCATTTGTTGGGTTGTCTGGTTGACCAGGCCCCCAGTTGAAGAATGGTTTTGCCTCCATTCGACCTTCGCACGCCCAGGTTCCTTCTCTCGCAAGATCGTTCCATCCAATCCAGAAATAGCCCATATTCTCCCTTTGGGCCATCTGGGTCATAAACTTATTTTCCTCCCATGAATATGGAACAGCCATCTTGCCTCCCATGGTTTGACAAGCCAACTTGGACTGATCCCAGTCAGCTGACTCATTGGTGAACCGATAGCAAGAGTGTCCCCATAACTGCCACGACGGTGGGCAATATTTAACAGCTGATGATGGGCAGGTGTCTGTGCCCACTACTGCCGTCAACACAGAGCTCAGAAGAAGAACTTTGAACAAGCACATCTTGTTTCAGTCACTCACAGTTGGAGTGGGAGAAGAAAATACCTGAATGACAGTGATTGTGGACTAACTGCCTGTATCTTGAGTTAGGTCTGACCTGACCAGAGGCACTCAAAATACCACAGGTTTGCCAAGACATAGCCTGTATCAGTGTAATAGATGCTTACAGATGAGCTACAGGCTCTGTTGAACATTGGAAACCGTCTTTGGTGCTGCTTAATATAGTACAAGATCAAGGAGTATTTTACAGAAAGTCACTGGTCCGCTCAGTCAGTGTGATACAGATGTCAGACTCTGATAACTTGATGCAAAGATGAGTTTCTTTCTCTCCACATACATGTGCACAGACAGAGTGTTGAGTGTCCGACCTCTCAGCAGAAATGAGCCTGGCGCCCGCAGTGTAGGGAGTGGTCGGAGCAGTGTTTTTCTTTACAGCCCCCCCCCTTGACACTACTGTGTACCGTAATTCATTTATTGAAAAGCACTTAATACGTAGTTAATAATGTATGTATCGTTTTACACGGATAATGGGCTCTGTCCGGCATAGTTCTGGTAGAATTGAGTGTGCACTTTACAGCCAGTGTAAATCCAGGGATCAGCTGGGTGTTAAAGGTTATGCATTTTGTTAGCAGCCTTGTACCTCCAACAAAGATTTTACATTTGTATCTTGTGTGCATTGTAAAGTCCGAGAATGAGAATGGCGGTGTCACTGTTGTACATGTACAGTGGCATCACTGTTGTCACTCTGTTGTGGTGAATGCAGTTGAAACGCATTGTGTTAACCGTAACCTCATTTAGTCATGACTAAAAGTTGCAGCCATTTGCAGGTATGAGCAGGGATGGAGTTAAATCTGTCATTGACAAGTATAGAAGGTTACAAAAAGATTATGAACAGATGAATAGTCAGTGTAGTTGGCTCGGCCAAATCTGTCAAAATATCTATATAGCATTGCAAAAACACACGTGTTGGAATCTTGACGAATTATAAAGAAAGGAAGATTTCAGCTATTTGTGCATAGTCTGCATTAATGTTAAGAGTGTACAGTCACATTGATCTGCTTGTGAAGCATCAATACGCTGAAGGGTTTGCACCTTTAAAGACTGACTGAAGTTGACGAGAAGCATAAGGTATTACCGCTTCAGCTATTTCTTCAGATGTATCCTTGAAGGTGTTGTCTCTTCAGTATATCTGCATTAACCCTAACAGTCCTCAGTCCTCCAACAGGTGAAGAATTGAGAACTGTTAAGGTTAATTTCAAGCACAAAAGTAGGTCTGTGTCAAATCAAATAATTGAACATTCAAATATCTTGGCATGTGTGGTCGAACAAGTCTCCAGATAAGCAGTTTGATTGAAACAACAAAGAAAACATCCAGTCAATACAGTAACTTCTCACTTTCATCACTTTTGTCAACACGAGCAATGATTTTATTTTACGTGTATCATTCAGGAAAGTTTAGGCACGTGATAGAGAAATATCATTTGATTTCATTGTTTTCCTCATTTTGTTGTCCTTTGGCTAGAACATGCCTTTACTGCTTTGGGAAGCTATCCATTCAAGTTTGTAGCAAAGGAGTTGTGAAGGGTCTTGAGCGTAGGAAATACCGGCACTGCATGGGTTATGGACACACACAGCTTGTCTGCTCTTGTCACATCTATTGCCGTGCAGGTTTCCTTGCTCCGTGTAAGTAGAATTTGCAACAATACAGGGTTGTTTCCGTCAGGTGTTCAGTTGATTTGGTGTCTGGTGTCCAAACCACTCAGCCTCCCCTCTTGTCCTTCACACACCCTGGGTCCTTGCGGTTTTGTGGTCATTACATTCAGTTTTAATAGAACACTTGTAGTACTCTTCCTCTGGGCCACCTGCATGGTGAACTCGCTTTTTTTGGCATGATGATGGAATTTGCCTCACGCTGCCTGACAAGCCAACTACTTGTAGCTGGCTCGTAGCATGAGTGCCCCCACAACTTCCATGACAGGCAAGATTGGACTGATGAGGTGTAGAGGCCTGTTCCCACTTTTATAGGGACCACAGAACTCGGCTTGAGAACGGTTACGACGATTGCTTCATTGAGTGTGATAGAAATATCAGACGCTGATAACTCGATGGAAGGAAGAGATGTGCTTCTTGTGGTCCATGTGAAGTGTTTGCTGTCAGAATTCCTTCTGGAGATGACCTCTTCAACCAGTGCTGGTAAATGCTCAAGTATTTTCATTGTTATTATCACAGCTTCACAGCCAATGTTGCTGCAATGAAAAGTACAGGCAGAATTCAAGCACCCACCTCAACCATTTGTGACAAAGCCTTAATGGACTGGATCCACCCTTCACATTTGTTGGGTACATGCATCAGTGAGCTCTACTGTCAATTAAAACCAAGGATTTGTGTCAGCAGAAGTCTCAGCAAGACTGATGGTGGATAATTTATTTATAGAGGATGGATGTACAGTCTCAAATGAGATGCAGCAGTTTTTAGCATGAGATTGTCAAGGATCCCTTGTACCATGAATATGAAGGAACATTTACAGTTAAAGTGTAGCAGCAGTGAGTTTTTCTTAGACCCATTTTTTCTGCATTTTTTTTGGGCGCTCATTGAATGCATGAAAGTTTATGTGGCATCCCATTTTGGCTAAATGCATTGAAAAGTGCAATTTTTAAAACATTAAACATTGGTCTTGCTTGCCTGGACGACTGAGGGCGCTGTTGCTGTGATGTCATCTAGGGAAGACATGTTTCAGGGCATAGGTTTTTCTGTTCGAATTGAACCCAAAATGAACTCATGAAAACATTTCTGTGAAAGGGTTGTTTGCTGCCATTTACACAAACAGCAAGCAAGAAAACAATCAACCAAGAAAAAAAACTGCGGCCAGCAGAATCTTTTAAAATTCAGCAAGTTTTTGTGTACAAACCGATGCAACATGGAGATTCTCTACCTGGGATGACATCACAGTTTTGCTCATGAACGTGAACATTTCACTAGCATAAAAATCAAAGGCAGGATAATACCCTTTAAAATAATGAAACAAAAATTGACAAGTTGATTGACTTTAGATGTAAAGGTGAATTTTGGAGGTTTGTATTTTCAAAGTTGCATTGCAGATACCATTTTGAGACTGGAATTAATATTCATTTGAATTTCAAAATGGAAAATGAGACGTGCCTCCCTTGAGGGCAAAGGGTGCAATTGTGAGTCA